TGAACACCAACATGATCAGCAAAAGCTTTCAATTTATTCCATGTTTTAAAACCTTCACCAATAAAGCCATCATTACTTCCACCTGTCTTGCTGAAAACATAGCAGTATAGACAATAAGCAGCATCTTTTGAAACACTGTACTCAAGCCAATTATGCTTTTTAAACCAAGACTCTTGGAATTTACGCTTCTTTCCACTGAAATTTTTGCAGGGAAAATCATGACCCTTTGGTTGAATATGACCCTTTTGAAGATAATATCTTCTAACCTCATCACGGATATTGGGATGAAAACTAGACATATTAGCCCTTAATCCCGGATATAGTGGCAAAGAGTTTACATCAAACTCCCTATCCGACTTTGCTGAAGAAGACTCACTTTTCTCTGGAGAGTGATTCACTGAACTTGAAAGATTTGGTTCTTGTGTTTGAGTAGCTCCCACTGCCTGTGAGGGAGGAAATGTTTGAGCTTGTCTACTTCCACTAGCTTCAACACCTTCAGTTTGAACATTTGGACTACTAAGGACCTTTCTTGTGTAATTTCTTTCCATTTGTTTGTACCTAATTCAGAGACACCAATAAAAGCAACTAAGGAATGAATAAAGAGCATATTTCTGGAACAAAACACCCTGCCGCAGCATCCAAACTTCTCCTCCTCTCGGCTCTCAAGAACAAAAGCAAGTAGTCTCTTTTGGCTTGATCTGATTGTCAGCATAATGCAACTTGAATGCATGTTGCTTGCTTCAGCAAAAGATCATAACTGTTTTTAGCTCTATTTTGGTAACTGTTATGCGCACCAACATGATCAGCAAAAGCTTTTAATTTATTCCATGTTTTAAAACCTTCACCAATAAAGCCATCATCACTTCCACCTCTCTTGCTGAAAACATAGCAGTGTAGGCAATAAGCAGCATCTTTTGAAACACTATACTCAAGCCAATTATGCTTTTTAAACCAAGACTCGTGGAATATACGCTTCTTTCCACTGAAATTTCTGCAGGGAAAATCATGACCCTTTGGTTGAATAGGACCCTTTTGAAGATAATATCTTCTAACCTCATCACGGATATTGGGATGAAAACTAGACATTTTAGCCCTTAATCCCGGATCTAGTGGCAAAGAGTTTACATCAAACTCCCTATCTGACTTTGCTGAAGAAGACTCACTTTTCTCTGGAGAGTGATTCACTGAACTTGAAAGATTTGGTTCTTGTGTTTGAGTAGCTCCCACTGCCTGTGAGGGAGGAAAGGTTTGAGCTTGTCTACTTCCACTAGCTTCAACACCTTTAGTTTGAACATTTGGACTACTAAGGACCTTTCTTGTGTAATATCTTTCCATTTGTTTGTACCTAATTCAGAGACAACAATAAAAGCAACTAAGGAATGAATAAAGAGCATATTTCTGGAACAAAACACCCTGTCGCAGCATCCAAACTTATCCTCCTCTCTGCTCTCACCCAAACAAGAACAAAGGCAAGTAGGCAACGAAGAATGCAACATATGACTACCAAATAAGAACAGGACCCCACCCAATTGAAATTCACAGACAACATTTGAAATTTTGAAACAAGAAAACTTGGAAACCTACCTGTGTTATGCCAACAGTGGCTGCTGCGGAGTCGGAGGAGGAGGTCGGAGTCGGAGTTTCGTCGGCAAACAACTGGTCTGCCGTCGCCGTGGCCTGTTGGAGCCTTGGAGGAGGAGCCGAGCAGTTGCACGAGTGGCGCTGGCCGCTGGGAGCTGGTTTCGGGAGTGCGGCTGTGCGGGGGCGGTGAAAAGTTGTAAATCAAAAGGGGATTTTGTTTCGTCTCGGCTGATGTAGGGTGTCCCGATATTGTTAATTAATTTTTAGCTTTCTGGCCAATTTAAGTTTGTATTAATAAATATGTGTCTAAATAATGACACGAAGTCGGATGTAGCCCAGTGGACAACATTGATGTTAATAATTATAGTGTCCGGAGTTCGAATCCCACTAGCTACATGTGTATTTTTTTCGCCATACAGAGTCTACTACCGAGGGATCGATAATTATTTTCCCAAATTTTAGGGGTGTCCCGGGACACCCCTAACCCTCCATAAATCCGCCCCTGATTATCATCCTCTTCAAATCTGAGCATTGTTGTACCTGAGATTTCGCAAGACCACAGCCATAAAGCCGTGAACATCGTTCCCTCCAAACTAGGCTGATACATGCACTCCATACTGCACGTCCCACCGCAGCTTGGTTTGTTTATCCCTCCAGGTCATCGCACACCACTATAAGAGAGTCTCCCAATCTTGGTGAGCCGGCGGAGCATACCCTTGCAAACATTGAACCAGCATCCAAGTAATATAAGAACATGACACGAAAAGGTGATCGCGACTCTCCCTCCCCCTAGGGCATAACAAACAACATCCAGAAATAGGTTTCCCCCGTTTGAGCAGCTGATCTTGCAACGTCACACGATTCTGAATCACATGCCTCAACATCAATCCATGTCGTGGGATGATCTCAGTATTTCAAACCAAATGATACCATTCGACATCATTTTCATGCTACATGTAGGAGTTCCACACCTTTCTCACAAAAAATCGTTTCATATAAGCACCATCCCAACGTGTGTTTAACCCTGAACTAGTTACAAAAGGCCTAGCTGCAGACCTGCAATGTAGCACCCTTTTCTAGATCCATGACCCCGCTGTCTCATGCTTCAAATCCCATACTGATTGATTCTTCACTCTGTATTTTAAGATCCAAGCCACACATAGGGATCCTCCTTGAGTAAGGATTTCCGACAGGTGCCTAGTAACACACGCTTTATTTCACAATACAAAGTTTTGAATTCCTAGACCCCCTTCTCTTTTGGGATGAGCCAGAAAGGACCATGCTGCAACTGCTCTCGTTCTCATACTTGTTTCATCAATATCCCAAAGGAACTTGTTACAAATAGTCTACTTTTTTAATCACATAAGCTGGCAACAAAAACATATTCATCTAGAATTGAAGAATTATTGTTAAGACCGATTAAACTAATTAAACTCTCCCTGCAAAGCTCAATGATTTAGACCTTATATTAAATATTAAAATATTAATATTAATTACTTAATATTAATTATTAATAATTGAATTGGTTCGACTTGATGAAATATTATAGTAAAGTAGCTAAGTCAAGATTATGGAAAGCTTTCGATGAGATAGAAGGGTTGAGTGGTGAGTAATTATGGTTAGTAATAATTATACCATGCATTTTAAACTACTTAGGTCATGTCAATCAGTGAGATTTAAGAAAGTGCTAGGTATAAAACAAGTGTTGTGCCTTACCTAGCGCATACCTCGCATAGATATTAACTTATGTTGAAAGAAATAATAGTTAAGTATTCCAAAATTGCTTAGAATCACAAGTCCATAAACCAAAATCATTAAGGCAACTTCTTGTTTCTAAAATATCATGAACAAAAGTAAGGTAAAGTATAAAATATGTTATGGGGAAATAAGGAAGGAAAAAGAAGTACCATGATGAAAAGAAGCACAAAAAAAGGAAGAAAAAGCTCCTCTAAAGAGGGCCGCCTCTAACTCTAACCAAGCGTCTAGAAGAACTCGAGAACGGAAGAAGAAAAAGGAAAGAAAGTTTTGATTTTTCTATAACCTAGTAGTAGATCAAGAGGGAGAAGAGAGACTGCATGACGTAATTTACGACACAACCTAGTGTTGCCTAGGCCACACCAGACGCCAATGATACATTTTTGTTATGGGACAATCCAAGTACCACATCGGTACTGTATATTAGAGTCCACCTAGCTCGATTACTACAAGGCCTTTTGGGGGAGGAAGCCAAGAGTAAAACCGTGCGGGTTTGGCCCAAAGCGGACAATATCGTACTAATTGAGCGGCCCGGTTTGACAAGTGGTATCAGAGCCTGATTCGGTTCGGGGCAGTGGACGCCAGTTTGGTGGACCCTCATCGGTGACCTCGGGATTTGCGATATGCGTCTGGTTTGGTGGATCCACGAGAGATCCACGTTTGGGCTACATCTGGTTTTGCGGATCGAGTGCGGTCCGCGTATGTCTGGTGGAGAGATCCACGTTTGTTTGGCAGATCAAAGTGACCTCGGGGTTTGAGATCTGCATTTGTCTGGCGGGTCAAAGGGGATTCACATATGTTTGGTGGATCCATAAGAGTTCCACGTTTGGGTTTGGCAGATCAAAGAGAGTTCTGCGTCTGGAAAAAATCCTTGTAGCGAGAAGTCCATCGATACAAGGTGTCTGGCGGATCAAGATAATCGCTGAGGTGAGGACACGAAGTTCGTGGTCCTTGTCTTGAGGGGAGGATTGTTATGGGACAATCCAAGTACCACATCGGAAATTCAAGGGAAGGAACCCTTGTATATTAGTTTCCACTAAGCTCATTAGTACGAGGTCTTTTTGAGGAGAACACCCAAAAGTAAAACCATGCGGACTTGGTCCAAAGCGGATTATATCGTACTAATTGAGAGGCCCGATTTGACAACCATCCCAAACAATGAACAACCCTTTCACTTTTCCGGTCAACATTCAAACTATTAATCGTTAAAACATCATATTCTCGCTAACACGTGAAGCGGTAGTGAGCGAGCATATACTAGTTGGCGGACATTTAACTGTAAACAAATAAGACACAGAGAAGCAAGTTTGTTAATTAGCTAGCGCGCATCAGATGATCGATCATATATATTTATACATCCTTCTCAGTGTTTCATTCCCTCCATCTGGACTACTCGATATCTAAGTTGCTAATACTTAATTAACAAGGAAGAGAAGTATATTATCTCTCAACTTGTCTTAGTCGTGACTCGTGCGTAGCAATAATAATATAATCAATCTGGAGCCAAACCATCCAACTACCCTCCGCCTGCATGCTCTCCTCTTCCCAATTACAACAACATTCTTCTTCTTCTTCTTCTTCTTCTTCTTCTTCTTCTTCTTCTTCTTCTTCTTCTTCTTCTGCTCTCTCTCCCTCTATAAATACCAAGCAACCAATCTCCACATTCCCCTCATCCTCTTCATCTCAAGTTCCCCACAAAAAACTCATCAAATATCAATATATTTTCGTTCCGTAGATGGCTAGGAATATGAAGTCGTCTTTGCTCCTCTTCATGATGTTGGTTATTCTTCTGCCTTCAAAACAGGCAGCACGCCCTCTCGTCGGGGCTGAGGTCGTGCCGACGGAGCTGCCGTCGACGCCACCCCTGCCTAAAGGGAAGGAAGGAGTCAAAGTGCCAAGTACTGCCGGCGGCGGATCCGGACCGGCGATAATAGGCGTCAGCCACGTTACTAACTCCGGTCCCAGTCCTGGTGAAGGTCACTGATGAAGGCTTGCAGACCGACCGCGAGCTGGCGATTGCCATGCAAATGGGGCTTTCTTCTCTTCCTATTTATTTATTTATTTGTTTATTTATTTATGTTGGACTTTTGTTTTTGGGTTTCATGGAAAGATGGGAGACATTAGGCAGCGTGACAGTAAGAGTAAAAAAAATTTCTTTCTTCTTAACGTTTCTTTACGTATACGGGTAAATTGTAGGGAGAGTTTTTGTTTTTTGGTATGGGACGGCAATTCTTTTTAGTTAGTGTATGGATTTAATAGTCGGGGGGATTTAATCTGTTAAATATGTGTAACTGTCATCTCTGGATCGTAATATATATACGGCAAAGATACAAAATACTAAATGTTATACATTTGGTGTTCTCGTGGACTAGGTAAGAAGTTGGGTAAGGAAGTAATTAATTGTGTATGTTTCAATAATTTGATTTATCGGAGCCAACTGGTTCTTGACATGGTATCGGGGATAATTTGTTCTTGAAATCAGATGTTCAACTTCTCACAACCCACTCGTTTGATGGAGCTGGTAAGGAAAGTGGTTAAATACTATACATGGACATTTTCACACAACTCGAATTATTAGGGTCAACTGTGTTATCGACAAGTTGTACATCTGGTGAGAGAGTTATTAATTAGCTGAACAATGCTATATATCTTGCGCTAAGGATTTTTACGAGATCGAATCTCTCATCTTTCTGTCTCCATGCAAGTCTCGATTAACATTAGCGTAAATAGGCTAATCTTGGTAATGTTTCAACATTAAATCCAGCGATCCTTACCTTAACTAGCTTTTGAGTCGATCGGTTTGTCATGAAGCTCTGAGTGGTAAGTGCATTTACTGGGACAAGTATTGTACGCATCACTCGCTTCGTTTCTGGAGAAATTTTACAATGCTATATAGTATTGGTGCTATAGGGTTTTGTCTTTATGGTATAACTTAAAATTGTACATTTACGTTATGGTACAACTTCAGATTGTACCTATACTTTTTGTACAAATTCTTTTATGGTACAACTTGAACTTGTACCTTTATGTGATGGTACAACTTCAAGTTGTAAAGTTGTACCATAACATAATGGTACAAATTGCTTTATGGTACAACCTAAACTTATATATTTAATGTTATGGTACAACTTTAAGTTGTACATTAAAGCACCAATACTATATAGCATAGTAGAAGTGCTCTCGATTCTGTCCATATGTAATGTGGCAATGGATGCAACCATGCAGGTTACAGATCTTTCCTTCTATGTATATCAAAATCTGATCCCTTTAGGAAGAGGGGTGACAAGTTGACAACCCAAAGTCATAACGCATCATATTGTACCTTACGACATGTTTGATCAAAACTTAATAAATGTGCTCGAATCGAACTATACGAATAGAACATTTTGGTGCGGGTCGGACCAAATTGGTGCTTGGTTATGTAGTTCCGCAACATCGTTTCTCTGGTTTGGAAAGTTGTCTTACGCCTAATGTCCGAATCTGTTGTGCTAGAATATGTGAGATGACAAACTGGCGCTAACCACCTCTGTCGTGCGCTCGTCTAAGATCCATTATGCAATTTTGAATCTTAGGTTGATCAAGGCTTGCGGAGTGGGTTAGGGTGATTACTCAATTTTGAGTAATCACGGTGGCTTCCTACATTTTCACCTTTCGTTTCAGTATTTTTAAACTGATGGCCATGATTGATTAAAGATAATTTTGAAAAAAAATAATATTCACACCTGATTACTATTTTAAAATATAAATTTATATATATATTCTTCCTAAACCTTAAAAAATTATAATAACTCTACAACGGTCTCCTTCCCTCCCTCTATCTCCTGAAAATACTTTCACTGTCGGCCGCCTCCACCTTGCTTCCTCCCTTTCCTCTCTCCCTCCACGGCCAACCCTCATTTTCCCGGCGCCCCACTCCTTCCCTCCCCAACTAGCTCTCTCTCTCTCTCTCTCTCTCTCTCTCTCTCTCTCTCTCTCTCTCTCTCTCTCGGGTTTTAGGGCTTTCCCTCTAGACCGATCGTGATGATGGTGGCGGGTTTGGATTTCGTCGACGGTGTTGGCGTCAGCAATTCAAGCGCCCGCTAGATTCCATCCGACAGACGAGGAGCTAATTCTCTTCCAATAATAGGTGTAATGGTATTTATTTATTTATGCAATAGTATTGTTTCGATTTTACAGTAGTAATGATATTGGTTGATTTTGGTATTAATTTGACTCTTGTAATTGTATATATTGTTTATCTTGATAGTTTTAGTGTAATGGTATTGATTTATTTTTACAATGATATTGTTTTGATTTCACCTTAGTAGTGTTGATTAATTTTGGTATTGGTTTGATTCTTGTAATAATATAGATTGTTTATAGTGGTAGTTCTAGTATAATGTTATTGTTTTTTGTTATTGTTTTTAATGATTTGGCATTGTATAAATATGCAATGGTGTTGGTTTTGTCTAGACTGGTATAGATTTTTTGTATTGGTATTGATTTTTCTTGGATTGGTAATGATTTCTTATTTTTTTATAATGGGATTGTTGTTTTTCGAAATTTTAGTGATTGTCTAATGGATTGATATTGATTTATTGTTTTTATTTTTGCAGTTGTATTCATTCGGCAAAACGAAAACAAGGAAACGTTGAAGGAAAAAAGGAAGAGAGATCTGGCTGGAGATTGCGGAAGTGAGAGAAAGAGAGAGAGAGAAAATAAAACACCACTTAGTAAAGAAAATAAAACATTATTCAAAAGAGAGGATCCATCATCGTCATTCTGGAGTCGGAATCGTCAATAGGACGTTTCGATCATGACTAGCGACTCTGAATCGGTAAAGTTCACTCCAAAAATTGAAAAATAAACAAATAAAAAGGGAACCGTAGCTCATTTGCGGTTGCATCATGGGCCAACCGCAGCTCACTTGCGGTTGCACCATGGACCAACCGTAACGTGTCTTAGGTTGAGTGTTTTTTTCTTTTTCGAATTTTTGGTAGAGAACAGGCGACGACGATGGCGGGAAAGGCGCCGATGGACTGGTGCGTCGAGAGGGTTTCACGAAGAAGACAGATGAGGGATTCAGTTTGAGGAGTTAGGGATTGTTTGGTTTGTTTAAATTTGAAATTTTATTGGAGATATATAAGTAATTTATCATTAGAGTTAGGGCGACCGTTAGAGCATCCACATTGGTATTGCATTCTCAATTGCAAAATGACATAGTATAGGTGTTTGCAATTGCAAAAACAATTGCATTGATGTGGCTACCAATTGCATATTTGCAAGCTTGCAACAAATGAAATTCCATATGCAAGTAAAAAAAGACTAAAAAAATGGGGATTTTTTATTTTATATTATTTTCTTTTCACTTTTACTTAATTTCTATAATTTAAATATAATATTTAATTATATTTGCAATTGCAAGTTAATTGTATTAATGTAGGTGAATGAATTGAATGTGACGTGGATTGTAAAAAATTTGTGTTGACAATATAAAAGACACAAATACAATTTCTTTTACATTTACATTAATAGAGATGTTCTTAGCAATTTTGAGGACAACATTTAGCCATTCAGAAAAACTAAACCCTTGTTGGCTGCAAAAGGAAAGCGCAAACCGGCTTTATCCTCTCCGTCCCAACCCATTGGACTCTACCGACCGAAATTCGGGTATCCGGTATTCGCCCCATCAGAATCGCATCAGGCGCCGACGATCAACGACTATCTCGGAATCCATCAATTCCACTTCGCCGGAAGCGAGAAGTAAACTCAGATTTTAATTTTGCTTCGTCCCAAGAAAGATCAGAGGCCATCATCATTTATGGGAATCTCCAAGCAGGGACTAAAAGACGAGTCAGCCAATCTATCCAACACGTCCACTCTGAAGAGCGATTTCAACTCGGAAACAGATACCATTGACGAAGGCCCGCCGCCGCCGTCGACGCCTGGTCCAATCCCCTTCGAAGAAGGTGAAAAGGTTCTGGCTTTTCATCGGGACCGGATTTATCCGGCTAAGGTTTATTCATCCCACTCTCTCTTCGATTCCTTTTGGAATTTGAGCTTTTACTGCCCTATTCCAGTTTGATTCAATTTTTGCGTGGTTATATTATCTCTGACAAGGTGGTGAAATTGGAATATGAGGTGAATGAATGGCGGTTTCTTCTTCATTACCCTGTATGTATTTTTGACTTCTTTCTTTCCGAGTCTGACTCGATTGCTTCCTATGTTGGAGAATTGCTTCTGTATTTTCAACAACGTGATTCCATTGCCCCTCTGTTTTGCAGGGATGGAACAAGCAGTTAGGTGACTTCTTACTTGATTCATATTGGTGAAAGAGGGTAGTAATATCTTAGTTGGTGAAGTTGTACTATAATTGTAATTTGGGAGGTTGAATATGATGTCAATGTGATTTTCTTGATGTTGATATTAGATACGTAGTTTTTAAATGGACGGTGCTGAAATTTTGGTGAAGGGCTCATAGTAACTTCTTCGGCTCATGAACTAGTAGTAGCTCTGACAAATAAATCTGTTTTCAACATTTTAAGTACTGTAACAGTTGGGATGAGTGGGTTGGAGTGGATCGCTTGATAAAGTATAATGAAGAGAACGTGCGGCGACAGAAGCTGCAGAATGAGATGCAGAAGCAGAAAGCCCCGAAGCCTGGGCGACGGCCCTTGCTTGGTAAACAAAAAGGTTGTACTGGTTGGAATTTTGCAGTTTTTTTGGGTAATTGATTTGGTAGTTTCTTCTTAATGCGATTCTTGGAAATTGAACTCTCTTTAAAGAGCTGAGAATGTATAGCAGGTTCCAGGAGGAGGAAGCAGAGAAGTGACTTGCTTGATAAGGTACTGTCTGCTTTACCTACTACATGGAACTCAATTGCACTCGAAGCGTCAATTAGGAGCAAATACCTTATGCAGTCAAAAGCTATCTCTACTTTTTGGATTTTATATGGAAAGTTATGCATAAGCTGTCTGCTTAGTCTATTTATCTTGATGTTTGTTAGGATAAGGGTACTCTCTCCCTTGATAAATCTGCAAGTCTCCAAATTCCATCAAAACTGAAAATGCAACTGATTGATGACTGTGAATTCATCACAAATCTTGGCAAGGTAAGCACGCTTCCCTTCGTATAATCATATCTAGTGTTTAAGATGGGGCTTGAGGTTGGAGTGAGTATTTATTATCTTACTTCTGAATATAAATGTGGCTAAGCTTCTTGTTCTCGTATTAGTAGTCTGGTTAGGAACCAGGCACTGGTCATAAGTGTTCAAATTCTGTTACATGTTCATTGTGTATTGGTTATAATATTGAACTTGCGCGCATGCTACTCTATGCTCACAATTATCATTCATACATTTCCTCATGCAGCTTGTTAAACTTCCTCGGAATCCTTGTGTGGATGACATTCTGAGCAAGTATTGCGCATATAGACTAAAGAAGGATGGGACGTAAGTTTATTCCATGTCTTCATGGTTAAATTGTTTGTTAGTGTCAAAAGAATGAAGGACCCTAATGTTCGGTACTTGTCATCTGAATCTTAAACACATACACAAAGTCATGATTTCCCTCCCTGGGTTCAGGATGGCCGAGTCAGTTGAAGAAATTCTCAGAGGCCTACGTTCTTACTTTGACAAAGCATTACCCGTGATGCTTCTGTACAAAAGCGAGCGACAGCAGTATGATATTGTGATTAAAGAGGGTATCTCTCCCTCCACAGTCTATGGTGCAGAGCACCTCTTGCGCCTCTTCGGTAATGAATTTCCATCTTCTGTGTCATGCTGTAGAACCATCTGCTTTGTCCTGTTGTTACTAATGATTCTTCTTTGTACCAATGTAGTTAAGCTGCCTGAACTGTTGGCGTTTGCAAACATTGACGAGGATACACACATGGAGTTGCAGCAGAGATTAGTGCATCTCCTAAAGTACGAAATTTGTCATTCTACTAGAATATCTTGCGGCTATGACGGATGTTTATTTCCTGATTCCTGAAAAAGGTTAACTGGCTGGATTTTGTGCAGGTTTCTGCAAAAGAATCAAACTGCATTTTTTCTCTCAGCTTACTATTCAATGGAAGGAGCTGAAGCAAGCACCAACAATCAGGAGACTAGCTAGCTAGCAAGGTTAGGTTCAGAAAATTCCTGCAGATTTATGAATAGGTGGTACATAGTGTCATCGTCGGCCATGGATGTATAATGTAGATAGCATATTTCTGTCATCAGCTTTTGCTTCTTTGGTTGTGGAGATGCTGTAGTGTGTTTGTTTACAATCTTTTGCTGCTGGATTCGGGTAGTGCCACTGCCCAACTTTGAGACTGTTATCTCTATCGATTCTGATCTTTTATCTCACTTGCATACTATCCCATAAATTGTACTTCCATCACGAGCTTTTATATATCTAATATATAGTTTTGAGAGTTTAGTGATTAGGGTTTTAGGGTTGTTTGTTTAGGATTCAGGGTTTTAGGACTTAGGGTTGGGTTGTGGGTATAATTATTAGATATTAATTAGTGTTGTGGATATTGGTCAATCTTAGTTGTAATATTATTTATTGATCACCGGATTTTTCTCTGAAAGATTGTGATGTGTTTCTGGTATGTTTGGATATTTATTTGAACCTGAAGAATATTCTTTTAGTTCATGTGTTTGGATATTTGTGTGGAATGTTGAGATACTGGTTTTGGTGGTGTGGATATTTGTTAGGGTGAATAGCTATTAGTATGGGTGGGCCCGAATCTGTTTTGGGCGGGCTTTTGGGGATTTTGGGAAATTTGGGGAAAGAAATCCCAATTTGTATCAGAAATAGAAGTGATGGGGCAATTAATGTTACAACCACTTTTTCTCTCTCAACTCTCTCAACCCCTCATTCTTTCTTCTTTTCTCTGAATTCTCTCTTCCTTTCTCTGACGGAAAAGTCGTTGGCGGCGGTCTTCATCCTCCGTCGTCCAGGGAAACATCCCTGATGATGATCGATGATGAGGCCGAGTTAGATCGTCCATCAACGAGCTCGTCCCATGAAGAAGAAGAATTTGTTGATGGTGTATTAGAAGGTTTGAGTCAAATAGATGGTGATTGTGTGTTTGGCTTTGATGCAACAGAAGAAGAAGAAGAAGAAGAAGAAGAAGAAGAAGAAGAAGAAGGTGATTGTGGATTGACATATTTATAAGTTTGTGTTGTTGAGTTTTGGTTGGGAGCATTGAATGAAATTTAATGTCTTTGGTGTGAGTTTAATGTTTGTTGATCATGGTGGGATTCTACTATGAGCTAATGGGATATTATTTACCTACTGTTTGTTGGACGTAGTGTGTAACCTATGTTTATTTTGTGTGGATATCAGTCTGGGCGTTTTTTATATTAACTTAATTATTGTGGATACTAGTACGTCAGATTATAGTGTGGATACATCGTCGGAGCCATTCTACACTACTTTTAGATTCATTGATATGAGTTAGCCTATTGTTTACGGATTTTTGTTAGACGTAGTCTGGGGATTATTCTGGGCACATTGGATACTAACTGGTAATGGAAATATCTCGCAGCTCACAACACTTCGGACCTAGAAGATGATGAAGCGCGAAATGACATGTTATTTCGCACAAGGACGAGTGTGTTCGTTTCTACGAACGGTATGCTCACAAAAAATGGTTTGGTGTTCGAGTAGGTTCGCAACATTTGAGAAAAAGGAAGAATTCCGAAGGAGAGGTGGTGAAAATTTATGCCTACCTATATTATCTTTGCAATAGAGAAGGCTCCACGGACGAAGTCAATGTTGAGAAACAGATACAGGGAGAGGATTCGGTTGTAGAGAGAAGCCGCCCTAAAAGAAAGAGGTCTCGAATTAAGGCTGGATGCGCCGCCCTTGTTCGTTTCCGATGGGATGAAAATAGGGATGGATATGTGGTGCACAATTTCATTGGAGCTCACAAATCATGATCTGCACTCCACCAAGCATGCTTACCTATTGAAGTCAAACAAGTCTGTGAGAGTTCCTCAAGGACTTGATGCTGAAGCAAATCGCAACGCTGGGATGAGTCTTAGGTCCTCGTATCAGCTATTGGCTGAGTGTACCAGAGGGTATGAGAACTTGACTTTTACCAGATCTGATCAGAAGAACCATTTGAACAAGAACAGACAAAAGACTATGCCTCGTGGCGAAGCGGCTTTCTTGGTTGACTACTTTCAAGACCAAAAGGAGAAGTATCTCGGCTTCTTTTATGTTGTAGAGGTAGATTGTGAGGAGAAAGTTGCCAATGTTTTTTGGGAAGACAGTAGGATGCGTGAAGATTATGCACTTTTCGGAGACTCTGTCTCCTTCGACACCACCTTTTGAACCAATAAACACTTCCGGACATTGGGTATGTTGACCACTTATTTTCCTTATTTTTTTGGACACGCAAGCGGTTATGCATTGTTTTTAATACCAAGTCTTTTGCAGGGATGTTTGTAGCTTTCAATCATCATCGACAAACTTGTGTGTTTGGCGCTTGTTTGTTATATGACGAGACAACTCCTTCTTTTGAATGGTTGTTTGAAGCATTTAGTCGGTGCATGAAGAGGAAACTCCCAGTGACCATCTTCATAGATCAGGACGCCGGTATGGCAGCTGCCCTTAGAAAGGAGTGGCATAATGTGTTTCATGCCCTCTGTACTTGGCACATCTTGATGAATGCGAAGAAAAATCTTCGTAAGAACAAGAAATGTTGGCATAATTTCCAAAATCATCTTGCTTATCTTTTCTACTACGTCGACAGCGAGGCCGAGTTTGATGAGGCATGGAGCAACATGGTTTCTGATTGTTTTCCCGGTAGTGCAACTGTGGATGGCCACCAAGGGATGCAATATCTGAAGAAATTTCGTCATCAATGGTGTTCCTTATATCTGAGAGATCGATTCACAGCTGGGATGTTGACAACGCAAGCTAGTGAGTCGTGCAATGCACAAGTGTGACTCTTCTTGAAACCAAAACATAATCTCGACGAGTTTTTCATCCACTTTACCTAGTACTGGATCAGAATACTAGTTTGGTTTTAATGGATATTACTTAGCATCTTAGTGATATTTATAGACTCTTATTCTGGTATTGTTATGTGATGGTGTGATATATGTTTGTGTTGCTTGGATATTTGCTCTTTTTGTATATGGATATCAGTCTGGGTAATCGAATTTTTGGTTTTTTCATACATTTTTTTTTGGATATTACTTAGCACCTTAGTGATATTTATATACTCTTATTCTGGTATTGGTATGTGATGGTGTGATATATGTTTGTGTTGTTTAGATATTTTCTCTGTCTGTATATGGATATCAGTCTGGGAAATCAAAATTTTGGTTTTCTTCATACATACAGTTTGTTGGCTGACAAAAGGCGCAAAGAGACTGGGTCTGACTATATGGGGAAACAATCAGCCCCTTACATAGTGTTGGAGAAAAGCTCGATCCTCCAACATGCTGCCAAGATCTTCACGAAAAACATATTCAACCGGATTCAAGAGCAGTATCTGGAAATTGAATAGTATCTAATTGAGCTTGTCCCATATAATAGGGATGATGGCTTCATTAGCTATCTTACATATAAGATGGACGATGGTGAGCGTAGCGATGAACGTGTCACTCTTGTCGATACTTCTACGGCCACATTGGTATGCGAGTGTAGGATGTTTAGAACATTCGGGGTCTTATGTCGGCATATGCTTAAGGTGATGCGATTGCTTGGAGAGTTTGGGAACGATAGTATGAGAACTATTCCAGGTCATTACATACTCAAGCGATGGAAGTTGGAGGCGAGAAGGAAAGATGTTGGTGATGCTGATGCTTCAGGCGATACTTCACATAGTCATGAGAATGAGACGGGAAAAGGAGATATAACAATGAGGTACCGAGAAACCACTGCAATGTTTAATCAGCTCGCTACAAAATTGTCAATGGCGGATGAGAAAGTGTACAACAGGTGGATGGGAGCATTGCAGAAAGTGTGCAAGGAGGCAAACAAGGCATTGTCAAAGACTATAACTAGCGAGGACGGTAAGTGTATCGAATACTTTTTGTAAATTAGTATAAGTTAGTATCATTGGACGGATTACTTAAGCCACTAACATTGTAGGGAATTCTGTACCGACAAGTGGCCTCTCTCTCAAGGAGAAGAGTAATCCAAGGAAGCACGACAAGGAACGTTATAAGTCCACGAATGAGAAAGAGCGTCGTCGAAAGAAGATTGTCTATGGAAAGAGATTGAAAGCATTGAAAGTGCTCACGCATGACACCCATTTTCAACATGATGACCATCTCACTGACTTGGAAGACGACATTGCTGAATTTGGGTGTGGATATTAGTTTGTCAAACGCGGATATTTGTTTAGCAGGCTACGATATATCTCTAGGTTGTAAGGATATTAGTATGCGTTGTAGGGATATGTCTTTTGGTTCTACAAATATTATCTCTAAACATTCGGATATTTTTGTTATATTTTATGTATGTGGTTGTGTGGATTTCATGTATTTCCATCACATATGCTCAGATTTTAGTTTGGGTATTTTGGATATCACTTTGGGTCATATGATATACTTTTGTTGAAGGAAAGATATTCTTATGTGACCCTTGATAAAAAAATCAGGGATACACTTAGTGTTGTCTACTTTAAAATAATAAAGCGAGCAATCAGGATAGAGTTAGTGTCTACTTTTGTCCAAAAGTTCCCAAAATAACCCAATCACATTAAACTAATAAAGCCAACAATTAGGATAGTGTTAGTGTCTACTGTTGTCCAAAAGTTCCCAAAATAACCCAATCACCTTAATACCTTAACATCAACATATGCCCAAAAGTTTCAGCTTCTCTTCCCTTTCTCCTTCTGTGTTGCCCGCTCATTTGCCTCCTCAAGTATGACATTCCTTACTTTGTTGTATTGCCATCGAAGGAGACTGCCTTCAATAGATGCTCGCTGGTGCTCCGCGTGCTTTGCCAAGTGCCAAGTTTCATTGTATTCCGATGGAATGTGACCCGCCCAGTGCTCCATGAACATGCATGCGAACACTCCACAGTCATCGTTTCCTTTTTGTTGAGGAACATCCGCAATTAAGAATTCCCAATCATGCAAGGGAGCATCGATATTGTTTGTAAGGAAAGCAGCCCCATACTCTAATATCAATTTCCCCATGGGACTGTGATCCACCTTGGCCACTGCTGGCTTGGGTTTTAGGCTGTCCAGAAGGAAAGTCTTCTGACTCCTTAGATCAGCAGCGTAGACCCGGTAGTGATGGTTTGCATGCACAAGGAAAAAAATCTGAAACATAGAACACATAATTATTTATCCACGAAACCCAAAAGAAAATCTCGACAGCCCATACAAGTATCCAAACTAACATTTCATATATAAAAGGCAAATCTTCAGACAAATCAGTTATTCTCTCAGAAAAATATCCAATAAACCCAGACTAGTATCCAAAACTAACATTTCAGATATTCACAGGAAAATCTTCAAACAAATCAGTTATTCTCTCGGACAAATATCCAATAAACCCAGACTAGTATCCAACACTAACATTTCAGATATTCACGTGCAAATCTTCAAACAAATCAGTTATTCTCTCGGACAAATATCCATAAACCCATACTAGTATCCACAAAACGTATATCAGTATCAAGATAGAATAAGGATTCACTTACATATTCTAATTTGTCCCATACAACACGTTTGAAGACTGGAACCCGCTAGGTCACTTCAATGACCCCATCGAGTCTCTCCTGGGACGGGGGCACATTCGTATGAGAATTAAGTATGGCAAGTTGTTGTTTGCAAAGGAAAATAAAAGCTAATTAGTTACTGGATATATAAATATTGTAAGGTGTGAGTGAAGAGCACACTTACACCAAAAGTGAACGGAAAGATAAGCCTGTTCAATCCACCAACAAGTGCTTTGTCGTTCAAGAAATGACCATAAGCCTCAATCACTTGGATATTGACTCACTCTAATTGCTTCAATGTCAACAGATGAAGACGAGCGAGTTTAATTGAAGGAGTGTGCACCACCAAGCCCTTACCCTCAGGCGTACTGAAGACGAACTCAACCATACGACGAGCAACTAGGTCGAGCTTTGTCGACACACCTTCGACAAATAATATACTGATGAAGAAGCATATGGGTTCTTCTTCGACCTCTCGAACTCTAGGGTCTTTAGTGTTGCAAGCCAGTCCTCAGGTGTGTAGCTGTACAGACGGTCTTCTTCCTCGACATCATATTCCTCTCATGCGTGATAATCACATCTGGATTCCTCTCAGCGCTCTTACAAGCCGCTTCTACCAACTCCTCGTCTATAGGCAACATTCCCATCTCTGCAAGTTGATCCAACGGCTCCACCACATCATGAGTAGTCGTCTGTAGAACTTCCTCCCTTGTAGGTGGGTCTTCTTCCTCCGCATTAGCAGTTGTAATAGCCTCATGAGACATCTGCATAATGTCCTCATAAGTTGTATCTGGGACTGTATAGTGTATCACCATAGGGAGTGTCGGCTCCAACACCGGCTCCAACCCCTCCTCGTTCGGTGTCTCTACAGTCTTCTCTGCTTCATTCTCCACCACCTCAAATCTATTCTTCTCTTCATGATCTTCTTCACATTTCTCTCCAGTATTCTCCACTTGTTGCTCGACCTGGTCCTTCTCTAGATGCTGCTCATACATTTCCATTTTAGCTTCAGTATTCTCCACTTGGTTTTCCACCACCTTTGTTTTAAGCTGCTCTAGCACCTCCTCAACAGTATTCTCCAAAAGTCTCTTTCCGGAATCCACAACCTTGAACCTGTCATGCTCTTTCCTCTTTTCTATCATATGTCCCAATTTTGTGGCAAAGTCCAGTAGTTTTCCCAAATGCCGATTAATCCTAGCACCCAGTACCTTAAGTTGGAAGACAAACGAAGAGTTTGCGGAAAATTAAAAACTACCAACACACATGTATTCAGTATAATATCCAAACTGCTCGTACAAGTATCCAACTTTTCCACAATGATATCCACACATGTGCGCGTACTAATTTTCAAGTTGCCAGAATAATATCCACATATGATATAACAAACATATATTTCACTGAAATATCCAAATGCATAAAAATAATATCCAAACCTCACAAACAAGTATTCATAACTGAAAATCAAACAAGCTGATTTCCAAATGAAACCAACCAATATCCCAGAACAACAAACTAAAATCCAAACAATATCCATTGTCATTCCAACATGGCAACTTAAGAAAAAGTACAACCCCCGAAAAAAGAACGAAAAACAGTAGATCAAATTCACACTTGCTATCCCAAATTCTCGACAATCGTTTGGACCTTGTCCCTTCGAGCCACCCACTTTTCAATCATGCTCTCAGTCATTTCCTTCAATCCCTTAAGCTACACATATGTTGTGAAATATTTAGGTTACTATATGCATCCAAGTCTACCAATGCACTATCTTAAATTGGGAGGAAAAGAACATTTTACCTGCTCTAGCTGAAGGCTAGTCAAATCTTCAGTCTCCCACCATTCTGTTGTGGGCATTGGTGCATGAGTTGGAGGAGGAGCTGAACTGCTGGCCGCTGTTGCACTTGTAACCTCATTAGCCGCTGGCTGGAGCTGGTTGCGAGCAGCGATTTCTTCCCTACTCAGCAGATCCACAGCTAGTTCATATCTTCCCCCGGTTAAGGGGATAGATGTGCTTGCCCTATCCACATTTTGCTTCTACCAAAACCGGCAGCTAGGGATGGTCTTTGTGTGCAACCCACGTAGGCTTAGGGAGTCCAGCAGATGCAGCTGTAAAAAAAATTCAGTTAATAAATGTTAAGCGTCATTTCTAGCAATTTAATAAAGGAATATCGAGAGTCACCACAAAAAGTATCCTATGTGACTAAAATGATATCCACAGACCATTTGAAGCTGATTTTTTTGCAATTTCACCAACAAGCATCGAAATTCAGAACAAGTGTATCATATGTGACTAAAATGATACCCAGATAACATTCTAAACAAGAAATATCGTAATTCATAATAAACAGTATCCGAGTTGAACCAACAAGTATCGAAAAAGGTTAGGACTTACTGTCAAGAAGTAGCAATCTCCGAGAACCCACACGCATGGCTTGTCTTTGGCCCTTGCAGCATGTTCTTTTTTCTTCGCAACAGTCAACTCTACCTTAAGTTCACGGGCGATAAAGGTACACCAATCGTACACCCTAACGTCCTCCATACTCCCACCTATGTATGGGGCAAAGTCCAGCTTGCACCTCTGAGCAAATGTTGGCACGAGCAACGAACCAGTGGCTAGCAACAAGAATTGCTTGACAGCCATTGCAACAGGTGGTCTACGACCTTCGCGTGGAATGGCCAACTGCCGCAGAGCCTTGATAGAAACATTGTGGCTCCTGTTAGGAATCATGCCGATATCCTCGCTGAAACTGTCGAGCATCCCCCCTCAGTGTACTTCAGATCAATCACAGCCCCACCGAGAGGAAGGCCGTACACACGTGCCACATCCTCAGGTGTGAACTCGAACACCTTCTTCGAGTCTCCTTCCCCGAAAACAAAAGTACTTATTGAGATTTCATAAGCAGCCATCAATTAGTCCTTGAAGACATTGGGAATTTTCGACATTTGAAGGTCCAATAGGCCTCTGAATCCTGCCTTCTCGACTTCTTTCTTGCATGTTTCATAGTATGCAGCATCTTGTTTCCAGTAGCTTATCACTTTGAATAGAGAATAGGTGGAGCCGTGGAATCTGAAGTATGAACCGCAGGGTCCCTCCTCATCTTCTTCCTCATCTTCCTCCTCAACTTGTGGTTGTTGTCTAGCAGGAGGCTGCCTTGATCCTTCTCCTTCACGAGAACTCGGTGCAACCATGTTGAATCTCTTCCTCACTGGTTGTTCATGAAACACAGTTATATACTAGCTTATTACCCGGCCCGTTGGCCGGATTACTGTATGTTACCCACTTGTGGAATGGGAGAGAAAGCAAGTGAGAGTGAAGGGATTGGGATTCCACTTAATTAAGACCGGCCCACTAATCCGATTCTTCCCGACCCGCCCCAACCTAAAGGGTCAGAAAGAGTCAATAAGAAAATACGAACGGAGAGAATTAGTAATATATCTTGACTCTTCAGAAGTGGGTCAAACAGGATAAAGGTTGGGTGAGGGCAATTTTTAGCGCTAAGCAGAGTTCTGGGTTGAATAACTTTACTTAGGCCTAGAAATTGGTGCTGATGCAGACTGCAGTTTTTATCATACCATCATCAATCATCATTGAATTAGTCCTGGGCATCCCTCCCCATTGTCGGTCTGAATTTTAATGATGGCTTCATTCCTTGCACCAGCCATATCAGCGAGTTGTCATCTCGAGCATGATTTGCCTATGTACAAATGATACAATTAGAGTATGAAACTGAATTCAAAGAAAAGGAAAAGAGAATTCTATCACATGCCAATAAATACACACATAATAGTTGAAGCTAAGTGAAAGTCATTACTCGCACATCAATTCTCAAAAATTACAGACTAAACAATGGCTAGAATGGCACTGAAACTACCAAGAATCATGGACGAAACAACTTGTCAAATTAAATAATCCTTATACTGAAACTACCTTCTAACTTGAAATAAGACATGATCACAGTTCATAGCACTCTTATCACTATGAATTGGTTGCAGCTCGTCCTTATCACTACCTCCCAAGCTCAATTCAAACAGAATAGACACAGTTATGTAAGATAACCATATCCTTACTGATCATAATTCCTTTCTTCACTCCATTTTTGTCGGAGAAAAGAGTTATCCCCCTCTCATGCATTTCCCTTTCCCCCTCTCTTCTCCTTCTTCTTCACAAACCGATCCCTAAACCAGCAACAACAACACAAAATAGCCTTCGCCTCTGCCATCTCCATCTACTGAACGCGTTGGTGGCAAGACAGGACTGCAGAAGCATAATTTTCTAAAATCAAACTAAATTTTCTGAAGGAGACTCAACCACGAAAAAAGAGTAAAGCAACAATGCTAATAGTTCAGATGGTTGGTTTTGATGTTATACGTTGGTTTTGTTATGGTCTCCAGTGTATCAACTGCGACAGAGATGTTTCCTCCAATCATCTTTAGTGCACGATTTAGAAGTAAGTCCTCTTGTTTGTGTCAAACGGAAACATTCATGGGTTCTTAACTCCCCTGTTAGTGTAAATGCATCAGCAGCAAAGAAGTTTGACAACACAGCAAGCACCCAGGCAAAATGATACAATGCAGTAGGTGATATGTGTCTCGAAGGTTTTGAGCTACTAAAGTTCATGTTAAAAATAAACATGAATTAAAATGGATTATTCTATTAAGCAAACATCCCCTCTAATCATACAAAGATCAGATATCTAATTCACAAACAATTAAGCCATAAAAAATCATCACACATCCACCACCTTTGATTGCCTATATTTGGTTTTTCGCAAAGTTATGGACTCTTAAGGGTAAAGTTCATGGGTAGTCTGTTTCATAACTCTAGAGAGCACAGTAAGCAGCCACCAACCAGACATAGTGCGGTAGGCGAATATGATTCTCAATTCACAATTTCTCACCACCGGAAGTAAGAACAGACCATAATAAGCGTAGCGTTCATGGGTGGTCTGTTTCATAGCACTACTACACAATTTGTTAAAAAAGAAAGAAAGATATTTAGCATCACGGCGAAACAACTTTTACAGGCCAACAACGACAACATGCTGCAACCACCAGAACTGGTATCACAACTCATAGGGAAAATCAAAAGATTTACTCTTAAATTAAGTAGTTACAACATCGAGCAATCGTCAAGCACATACACCATCACAAAAGTCACAGAACCTGATTCACAAAGCATTCAAACATTTGAGGACATTTCTGCAAAGATACAACTTAATATGTCTTTTTTCCAAGCCATTTCCATCAACATGCTTATAAATTTGCAATGCATAAAACAAATGGGCCAAAACTTGAAATTCAACCTGTTTGACCGACTCATGCCAAATTCTAATTATTCTTTACTTTTAAACTTTCTATTTGAAAATAAAAAAATACTGAAAGAAAAAAGACGACTACAATTCGCCATTTGCACATCACTTATTCGGGAATAAAACCATATAAATTCAAAAGGAACTGAAAATGTTGAGGATCGTTTTAATGTTTAAAATAACCAAATAGAATTTTATGTTTAGTTTTTTACTAACAAATACCAAACGATTCCTTATAAAATATACTATAATTTGATCATTATGATGTCAAATAATTATAAAATATATATTTGAAATGATAAAAATTGGACTAATTGGGTTGGTCGAGGTTGAACCATTGAATAACTTTAAAATACATTATATTTTAGCCACTAAGATATAAAATAATAGCATAATATATATTATGCCAGAGAAAATAGCTTGTTTTAGAATGGCAAATCCATGATGTTCATTTGTTTTACTTGATGACCAAATCCCATGTAGGTCAGGCTCATTCAACTCTTTTATTTTATGGTTAGCGGTTAGCCCATTAGATACCATGCATTAGTCTATTGTTAAATTTTTTATTTTTAACAATAAAAAGAAGTATTATTTTTGCCTTTTCATATATATTTTATCACCACGGATAAATAAAAAGGTATAAAGAAAAAAATTGACACTCCTGGACTCGTTTAAATCCGCATGTGTACAGTAAGTTGGCCCGTTCCACAGAGAAAAGAGAAAAAATTGACACTCCTTATTCTACCCTTCCTACAAACGCTCATGGAACAGGGAATTTGAAATGGGGGAAGAGTTTTTTCCACCCTGCTATTATATGTTTTTAATTTAAAAGGATACAACAAATGTACTTAGTGTGATTGGTTATGATCCTTGCCTTTCTTTAAAATGGTCATGGTTCGAATCCCAGTACATATCTTTTTAATGAATAAAAAAAAGTAATTGTGAAGACCAAAATGTCCTTCCTACTTTCACTCTCGTTGCAGGAAATTTGAAATGGGGCTCCCGTTTTTCCCTTCGGTGTATTATATTATGTGTAGATTAAAAAAATCCAAACTCCCAAGACAAATAACTAAAACGCACAAACCAATATCCATCCTAACAAAACTAATATCGACACATCAGAGTAGTAGTTTTTAGCCAATATAGCCAATTATTGTCGTAGTAAAGCAATAGTGTATCCAATAGCTTATAAATTATATCCATGTAAACAAATATCCATAATCCCCAGACAAATAACTAAAACGTACAATTAAATATCCACCTTATCCGAACTTATATCCAATGCAGTCAAAATCTAGATTTTAAGTAAAATCGAAAACTGAGGTAGAATCGAAATCGTAGATTAAAATCGTAAAATCGTAAGATTTTAAGGTTCATATTAAAATAAATACTTAAAACACTAGATAGTAATAAAAATGGATATCTTGAATAACAATCAACCACATAAAGCATAATTACTTCCCAAGATAAGTTTGTTTGCTAAACAAACACAACTAATCCATATATTTTTCTTGTACATAATAGAAACACACAAATAAGAAACCTGAAACATTATAGATATCACTGTTAATTAATTGTTAAGAGTAGAAAATCACATAAGATCGTTAGGATCAACATTAACATCACTTACACATCATCGTCATCATCCTCAACCTCACTCTCATCGTTTTTATTTGTTTAAGGACTAATATCATTACTCTTATGATCACTTGAAGTACTTTCACCATTAACCATATTTTCTTGATTACCATCATCTGGAAAAGATAACTAATTCATTGATGCATTCCCTTCTTAATTGATAAAAGGTCGGGTTAGTGGTGCTGAAGGATTGGGAGATGAACAAAATCTTGCAATGTAATGGAGATTTGGATTATTGTGAGGGTGGTGGGAACAAACTACAAACTAATTAGGAGGGTGGAAGATATCGTTGATGGAAGGAGTTGGGCGCCGACGTGCGAAATAGGAAGATACGAGGAAGAGAATGAAAATAAATTGAGGGTTAACTATCAGGTTGGGGTTGTGTTGTTCATTATGTTGGATTGGGGAAAGTAAATTTGACTCGGTTCATGGGCATAACTAACTTGACCGGCCTAATTTTGATCCAATTGATATGAACCTTGAAATCGTACAAAATTGTAGAAATCGTAGATTTTAAGGATTTTAGAGTTTTAAATCGGGATTTTATAGGATTTTAAGGTTCAAAGATTTTACAGTAAAATCAGGATCGGAACCCATAGGTAAGATCGTAAAATCGTAAGATTTTAAGATTAAAATCGGGATTTTGACTACATTGCTTATATCCACACACCATAGTAGTTTTTTTAGCCAATATATCCATGAAAAGGTATCGGAAACAATAACTAATCGAGAAACAAAGTGAGAAATGAAACATGTAGCCGCCGGATGCTGTGATGATCAATCTCCTTGATGAGATTTCGGAGAAACAATCTTAGATCTCTTCTTCACGGGTTGTTCCTGAAACACAGTTATATATTAAGAAAAATATCCATATTCCTCAGACAAATAACTAAAATGCACTTAACAATATCCACAAATCAGAGTACTTTTTTATCCAATTATTATCGTAGTAAAGCAAGAGTGTATCCAAACGGAGATAAATGATATCCATGTAAACAAATATCCATAATCCGAGACAAATAACTAAAACGTATAGTTAAATATCCACCCTAACAGAGCTGATATCCACAAATCAGAGTAGTTATTTATCCAATTATTATCTTAGTAAAGCAAGAGTGTATCCAAACTGAGATAAATGATATCCGTAAACAAATATCCATATTCCCCAGACAAACAAACTAAAACGAACAGAACAATATCCACTCTAACCGAACTGATATCCACAAATCATAGTTTTCTATC